TCGTTTTTTTTGGTGTTTTTTTTTTTTTTTTTTTTTTTTTGAGCTTACTCTGTATCATATGTGAACAAACAGGTGATGTCCCTGCTGTAGCACTGAGCAGCAGGGAATCCCTACCAGGCTAAGCAACTCCTTTCTGTTTTAAGGTAGTTTGTCAGGTAGAAGCAACCAAGGTACCTCACCTGGCTGCTGTTCCCCAGCGTGCTGCTGCCCACTTTTCACACAAGCTACAGTGCATCCGACTGGTTTGTTCTGCGTGCATCGAGGCTCTTCATTGGCTGCTCCGGAGCACTGCCGCTCTGATGCAGAGTAGGCAGAGGTTTGGAGCGCAAGTGCCTGTTGTCTGGTAACGCAGCAGACGGATGGGGAGTTAGAGCCAGTTAGGAGAACACTGCGGACATAATTTCCCACTTGTCCATGCACATTTCTCTGTCCCCACTTGCAGTCAGGCCAGGCAGTGACTGCTTGGACCGACTCGGAAGGAATTCTAGCTTTAGCACCAGACTGGGCTGGGGAGCAGGGGGCAGTGGGGGTTAATTGCAAAGTCATCCCCCCCTCTTTCACCCATTCGAAAGTGGTTGCTTTTCCCCATAAGCAGGTGTGACTTCAGCTAAATACAGTATTGCCCTGCTGAGCAACTTTACTTGCAACCATCTGAATGGTCTCAACCTTGCCCCCAGAATTAAGGAGCATTTACCACTCTGTGTTGTGCAGAGGAAGCTGTTTGAAATGCAAGCTTTTCAGCATATGTGGGGCAAACCATTCAGAAGTGGTTGCATGAGACTTGCCAGTGCTTTGCGGCGCCTCCTTGAAGTGAAGGTTAGCGGGTGGAGGTTTCATTTTCCTCTCCCCTCCTGCCACGATGGCTCTTCCAAGTCGTGTGTGAGCAGTCGCCTTGCTGGGTTCAGAGCATTGGCATCTAGTCAGCCTTTACTGAGGTGGATGACCTAGTACCTGGTCCCTGCTGGGGAAATAGTCTCTGATTTTTCTCTTTTCTTTTTTTTTCTCTCTACCCTTTCTGGTCTGGCCTCATGAAGTAACTATATTTTTTTATTTCTTTTTGTCCTTGTTCTGTGCTATCTGGCTAACTTCCATCTGCTAGACAGCAGTAATATTATCAGGAACAGCTCTCACCTAGTACTCAGTAGATAGTAGATACTGTTTGACAGTGTGGCGTTCTCTAGGAAGACATTATAAGATGTGTATATTGTAAGCCTGCTTCAGAGTAGGAGGATTTTTAATATGGCCAGTACTAAAAAATGATGGGTCCATGACTTATTGAACCTGATTCTGTGCAATGCAAACCATATTCTGAAATGGATGAACAGAATGGAGATGCTCCTTCCTCTAAGAGGGAAATTGCCTTCTGTTGGAATGTATATAGCTGCCTCTCCCTGCTGAGCCCGCTTTTGCACTCCCATTTTTTCACCTCTCGTCCAAGCTTGTGCCACTGAACTGCATCCGGGCTTGGGGCATCTTTGCCCATTTGCTCCCTTTAGGTGTAAATTCTCTTTGCTGTGGATATAGCGCTCCCCCCTCCCTAGCATTTCTGTATATAAGTGGTGATCGCTGAAGTAATTGGACGATGAGAAGCAAATCTGCACACTTGGCCATGAAAATAGCAGGACTTGGAAGTAAGCAGTTGCCAAGACCTCGTAACCTGGATGAGCTGAGATGTAGGCCTCCCTGGTGGCTTTCTCCTTAAAGCATTTTTTAAAATCCTACTGTAGGTTTCCTGTGTTGTGTCCCCCCCTTCTCCCTCTCCCACCCCATCCTTTTCAGGCCACCAGGCAGGTCTCTTCTTCAGACTCTGTCCTACTGGGGGAAGAAGTCCTGTTTTAAACTGAACTACATCTAAGCGACCTTTTGTTTTATGGCTTTATGCAGTTTGTTGCAATTCTGGCTTTTGTAGATAGTATGAATGTAATGCATTGTGGAACATGCCTGTCTCCAAAAGTTTGAGACCATCCTATTGTATCATGTCACCTTTCCAACAGAGCTGGGAATGTCTAGACTCTAGTGCTTTATTGATGAATGTATCAAATGCTCTCATTTAGTGTTCGCACTCTGCTTTGGGCCAGCTTTGTGATTTGTAAATAGGAAATCAATAAAGGCATTCAGGGTGTCTTTAACGCAGTTTCTTTGTGATTTGAAGTGAGCAAATGGCAGGAGACTGGCAGCATCACCGAGTTCAGTTCTCAAGCACGGCGTTGGGAGCTGTGCGGAAAATACCCGCTGCCGACAGGCTCTTTAATTTCAGTGCTCCTTTGGTTCGCAGTGAGATGCTCTGTAAATGATGGTAAAGCCTCGGCCACGACGGGCCCAGGTACTTGCACAGCTCTGCTGCTTGTGTAGCTAATAAGCCAGGAAGTTCATGTGAGCATCTGCCCTGAGTAGGAATACCTGCTACTTGCTCCAAAATTAGTTTGGGGAACTGCTCGTCTTACTGAGCCAGTATTTTTAAACATATGGTTGAAAGAAGCAGGCTTTAATTGCCTATGTGTCTTGCCACTTCCCCTAATACTCTGTTTGAATTGGTCCATTTTAGTCTTAATACCCCTACTCCTGGCTTGAAACAGTTTCCAGTAATTTAAGTAGCAGCACGATGATCCACTTCCTCTAATAATGCAGGCTTAATGATTTTATTTAAGGCGGGCAAGTGTCACTGAAGGGAACTTGGGCGTTAAACTTGAGAATAACAAAAGAAAAAAAAATTGCTTAGGCCAACGTAAAAACAAGAAATTTTAAATCATTTCAGGAAAACAAAAAGAAAAGAAAAATATGAT